TGTGTGTGTGTGCATGTGTGTGCGTGTGTGTGTGTGTGCGTGTACGTACATGTGTGTGCGTGTGTGCGTGTGTGTGTGCGTACATGTGTGTGCGTGTGTGTGTGTGTGTGTGCGTACATGTGTGTGCGTGCGTGCGTGCGTGTACGTACATGTGTGTGCGTGTGTGTGTGTGTGCGTGTACGTACATGTGTGTGCGTGTGTGTGTGTGTGTGTGCGTACATGTGTGTGCGTGCGTGCGTGCGTGTACGTACATGTGTGTGCGTGTGTGGGTGTGTGTGTGCGTACATGTTTGTGTGCGTGCGCGCGTGCGTGTACGTACATGTGCGTGTGTAAATGTGCGCACGTGTATCGATCCACGTTAAATGGTAGAGGCATAGTAATTAATGCATGGCATTCCAAATAAAATGTGTAGAGAGGGGACACGTTAATGAACGCGTAAATCTCTCTCAGTGCGTTATAGGCAATCAGAAGTTTCCTTCTCCGCGATCCATCTATTATATATTCATAAACGTGAAATCCCTATAGACCGTCTCCATGCCCTCAACATACCGGGCCACCGCGCACACGTCCGCGATAGAGAGTGCAGGACAGGGAACCTATATTTCTGCCCCTTCTTCTGTCCGTCTCTCTTCAGCCCCTCTCTCTCTCTCTCTCTCTCTCTCTCTCTCTNTAGTGTGCGGCTAGCATAAGTCTATGGACGATGGCTAGCGCTACTAACTGGTCCAAGATTACAAGAAAAGGCGGTGGTAATCAAACGAGTTCGAAACTTGCACGTTTTGGTGAATAAGAAGATTCTAATACATTTTATCGTTACTCTAGAGAGTTTCTGTTACTCAAGCAATAACGGTAGGCATCATAAAAGTAGGGAAAATATTCAAAATACTAGATAAATAATTCTCGAAATTATGGCTTTATTGTGTCTCGACACGCTAGAGATGTTCTCTTTACTTATTCGCAGGGCCAGAAGTTCAGTGCAGCAGTGATTGAGACGTTAGTCGCCTTGCTGCAAGCATTGACCGTAGCCGCCACTTTTCACGTCAGAACATACAAGTCGTTTCGTCAACTTTAAATACTATTATATATCAAGAGCTTAGTAATATAGATGCTACAACGAAAAACGGGAGAAAATGTGCTACTTTTCACGACAACATTATTCTACTTTGCCTGCAGTCATATATATTTTCATAGTATTGCATTAAGCAGAATTCTTTGCTCACTAAACAAGCCAACCGCTTGTCTCATTACGATACTCCTAGGCGGAGTTATTTGGTCTCCTAAACCTTCCTCCCACATTTGGCTAAACGCAGCGAGCGCATTCAAAGTCATAGCTACTCGATGGATAGACTGGACGCATGGCATAGGATGGACTAGATAGGGATAGGATAATTAGTATTGGATAGAATAGATGATATGTATTGCTAGATATGTATATGAATGATTAGGGATGGATAGATAAGCGATAGATTGGATAGACTGGATGAGATCTGCGAGTAATGGATATGAATGCGCTTAGTCATGGGATAGATGGTGAATGGGATAGAGGATTAGATGCGCATAGATGATAGATGGCATAGATGCGATAGATGCATAGATGCGATAGCATGCGATAGATCAGATAGATGGCATAGATGGCATAGATGGCATAGCATGGATAGTAGAATAGTGGATAATTGGATAGATGGCATAGATGGATAGATGGTGAAATAAGATGGATAGTATGCGATTAGAATGGCATAGATTAGGTATAGTGGATTAGCACTCGCAATACGTTATGGATAGATGGATAGCCTACTGGATAGATGTGATTAGTCATCTCGAATTATCCATGGCATAGATCTGATAGTTATGTGAGTCGACTTCATATGATGTGTATCCTCTCTGCTCAGTATCTGCGGGCAATAGCGTTCCAAACACGCGCTTCGCGTTGTCTTGTTCCATTACAACACGATATCTGATATCACTCTCAAGCTATAACGAGTGATGTTGTCTGTATCGCATTTCACCCAGTTATGTTAAGGACCGATAGATTTATTGAGGATTATATTTTTTGACTAGTACATTATGCGCAACGCGGACCCACATACCGAGGTACAGTGCTTTATTTTTGAAGCTAATAAGATACAGGTGGCTAGGCGGGGCCCTGGCGCTCGGGAATTGGATCAGAATTTTGGGATAGATGGATAGATGGAATAGATGTGTAGTAGATGGGATAGATGCGATAAAGTGTGCTGGATGAGAGGATAGAGGTGTAGTACGGCTATTAGTTGTGCTAGATGAGTTAGAA